GCTTTACTTGTACTTATTACTCTTGTGCTGTGGCTGTATTTATGTCATACTTTTTGTTATTGTGAAAGTCTGCTCCAGAAAGGAGCTATTTGAATAAAGTTTCAGTTTTACATATTTACATTTCTCTTTTTAACATGATATGGATATATCCAGGAAAAACATTAACATAAATGACTAAACTAGAGTCCTTTTATACTTGAGAAATTCACTAAAACAATCACTGCATGCTGGAGCACTGATATCTTTATTGTGTACTATTTTTAAAACATCCCAGTCCACCACCTATTGACAGTAATGAATTATTTTGTAAACTTACTTCCTGGAAATGATCCCATGAAACCATTCTGGGACTATACCGTTCTTGATCACAGACCGTCGCTGGGACTCTGTAAACCAGGCGACAGCATTGCCCTGTTCTTGTAACGACTGATTCCACCTCATCATCCTTAGAAACGTCTCATTTGATCCTCCTTCACAGAGCGCAGAGACCTGCAAATGCGTCAGTTACGCTTATTGAGTCCAGACATAAAATACTTGTACACAGTGTACATATAGAAACAGTACGAACCAAAAGTCAGTAAAGAGATTCTGGCATTTAGGCTGGTGTGCCCTGGATAACTCGCAGATTGTACATTCAAATGCAACTGATTTAAAATCTCAGAAAAATACTGCTTCTTTCTCTCTTTTCCACGTTCATTGTTCCTACACAGCGTGTTAGGTGAAGTCTGTGGTGTGATATATTTTGAACATTGTTCCTCAGTTGAATTTTAAATAAATGTCACATAAACCCCATAATACATTTCTTTGTGTTTCTAATTATTAAAAAAAAAAACACTTGAGAAAGAAGAAATGTAGCCTAGACAGGATGTTGTACTACAACTATCTGCATCAGTTCAGAAGCCAGACCTGCTTTAATGGTTGGTTTGTTAAATGAATCTTAAATTTGTAGTTTGAACACTCAAATACTTAAAAGGTAGTTAAGTAAGTAGTAAATAAAGCTCAGTCATACAGCTACAAAGTTTTCTAAATTCCACATGTTTTCATGGCACAGGATTACTCACCTTTTCTGGCAGTTCCGTGATAAAATGACACAGCAGCTCTCACTCACCTGACAACACCTGAGAAGGGGCGGGGACAAGCACTGACATTGCTCAAGTTTCAGTTCACAGTACAGAGGCTGGAGGCCACATAAGAGATCAGTTAGCTTTATCAGTGTTTACCTGCTGTCCAGCTTTACTCCAGTGCCAGGTCTGTTTTATAATGTAAAGTATGCACATATAAAGAGGGATGATTCAGGCTATCTCAACCTTTGTGCTGCCTGAGTTTTTTTTTCAGTGTAATAAAATGCAAAGCAGCACCACCACAATTTGTTTACGTAGTAAATGGACTTTGCCTCTCATTAATTAATTCATTCAGACATACTCACACAGCGGTGGTGGCGGAGTTGTCATGCAAGGCACTGGTCTGTCCATTGGGAGCAACTTGAAGTTAAGTATGTAGATGGGAAAGGGCCAGGGATTGAATCACTACCCCTGCAATCAGTTATCAACTGTGAAAATGTATTTCTGTTTTCATATATCGTGTTTCGTATATGTGTGTAGCTACCACAAAAGAAATATGTGTGGATGTTTAAAGAAAATACATTTACATTTACTCATTTCGCTTTTATCCAGTGACTTGCATTTTAGGAACAACATACAAGCATCAGTAAAGCATAAAAAATCATCAGTAAAGTAGGAGATCTACTAGTGACAATAGATACCAGTAAGAGAATCAATAAATGCTAGTAAAAGCTATTTGTGTGTGCGGCATCAATGGGGTAAATACCTAGGGAAAGAATAAGAGTTAACGAGTAGTGCAATAGTAAAATATAATTTTATATGATGTAAATGCTGGATAAAAATGTGTGCGTGTGCAAAAGTTCCTCTGACTTCCATCTGCTGTACTAGTCTGAGAGGAATCTCTCACAGGAAGGAACTATTTTGACAATTCAATTCATGTTATTGTTGGTGACGTGCTGATTCACTGAAAATGCATGGACAGCCACTTCAGGGAACCACTCAGGGCTTTTTTCCTTCCTGATTGTCTAAATGAAAAATACCTAAATAAAGGTTAAAGTTTTACTGCCTTGATGGCATGTAAAGCGGAAGTGATGAGTTACAGTGCAAATAGACCCTTCTCCATTTACACACGAACAACCCACATACACACACAAAATGTAGGTGAGTCCTGCTTAGCAGCTTTGCTCATATTCCTTCCCCTTAACTAAACAGTTCCTTTTTCTCTGCCTCCAAGCAAAAGTTCTGTTCTCATATATAAATATCTTACCCACAGATTACTGGGCAACACTTTTCTGCATCACGCCATAAATTGCTGGTGAGAGCTTAAACCTGAGAAACCCCATCCTTTGGAGCTCTGGGCCATAGTGACAGCACTGCTCTAGAAGGCAGCTACAATATATTTCCTGGAAACTAAGCATATTGACAGTGTTAAAGTAAGACGCTCAGACTATGAACACACCGTTACTCCAGCTAAAAGGTTGAAGAGGGAGCCATCTCAACATGCCCACTGCTCCACTTGTCTCAAGTTTGGAGACGTGGCCACCTGTAGCATAACTGGCAATGCTCGATCATATTTACACTAGGGATGGGTGGATAGATACTTTGATACTCACTCATTTGGTATTGATTCCTTTAAAAGAATATTGATAATAAAATGATATGAATACAAATCATGGGTGGCTGCATAATGTCCAGATGTACTTTTGTATAATGTTTGTCTCAATAAACAGCCCTGACACATTTAGCTGCCCCATGTCACATGACCGTGGAAAAATAAGTGACATGAGAACGGAGCATTTTATTTCACACTGTCAACAAATATAATAGCAAAAGAAATAGTTCAAATCACATACAGTAATTCACAAAAGTGAGTACACCCCTCACATTTTTGTAAATATTTGATTATCTTTTCATGTGACCACACTGAAGAAATTACGCTTTACTACATTGTAAAGTAATGAGTGTACACCTTGTATAACAGTGTAAATTTTCTGTCCCCTCAAAATAACACATCACACAGCCATTAATGTCCAAACCGCTAAGTGAAAATCCTGTGGTGTGACGAGACCAAGATAAACTTATTTGGTTCAGTTAGTGTCAAGCATGTTTGGCGGCAACCAGGTGAGGAGTACAAAGACAAGCGGATAGTGCATGGTGGTGGGAGTGTCATGGTCTGGGGCTGCATGAGTGCTGCTGGCACTGGGGAGCTACAGTTCATTGAGGGAACCATGAATGCCAACATGTACTGTGACTTACCCCTCCCTTCGAAGACTGGGCCGCAGGGCACTATTCCAACATGAATGACATGAACATGACATGACCCCAAACACACCTCCAAGACAACCACTGCCTTGCTAAAGAAGCTGAGGGTAAAGGTGATGGACTGGCCAAGCATGTCTCCAGACCTAAACCCTAATGAGCATCTGTGGGGCATACTCAAACGGAAGGTGAAGGAGTGCAAGGTCCCTAACAGCTCCGTGATGTCGTCATGGAGGAGGACTCCAGTGATAACCTGTGATGCTCTGGTGAACTCCATGCCCAAGAGGGTTAAGGCAGTGTTAGAAAATGGGGGAGGGGCAGCAAATTTACACTGTTATACAAGCTGTACACTCACTATTTTACATTGTAGCAGTGTCATTTCTTCAGTGTGGTCACATGAAAAGATATTCAAATATTTACAAAAATGCGAGGGGTGTACTCACTTTTTGTGAGATACTGTACATATAGATGAAGCATTGAAAAAAGAAAATGAACAGAAGTGTCAAGCACTTGGTGTAAAAATACAACATGATGCACTATTTGTGACATATGCCACATATAGTGTAAGTTGCTCTGGAAAAATCATGAATCACGGCTTGTTTAAGAGAATGAAAAAATCTTTAAGAAAGTACAAATGTACGTTTTAATGTTATTGGTATTTTCATTAATTAATTTTAGTAATTGTAACGGGTAATTGTAATTGTAATTGTACCGGGTCTCCAAACAGTCATATAACTAATGTTACTCACTGAGGGCCTCTGGTTTATCGGGTGCTGGGTCAGTGGGAGGTAAATGTGTGTGATGCTTTAAGATGTGGCCAAGGGGGGTAATATCTTTTATTGTTATACATGTACATGGCTATACCAGGGCATGATTGTCTTTACGATAGAATTAGATTGAGTGTTCTCCAGAGACAGCATGAAAGACAACATGTTCCAGTGATAATATAGTGCTGACCCTGAGATTAGGATAAAAGCTGCATGTGCTGAGACACTGCAGCTCACTCGGATGATACTCATTGAAAATTCACAGAAAGATTGTTTGCCTAAGCTGTTTATTTGAAAACTCGAATTCTCATCATATAATAAATAAATATTATAGTAGAAGTAAATATTATATAGTAGCAGTAGTTGTTTTAGTTTATTTTTTCTCAAAATGATATTTTTGAGTGCATCAGGTATCACTTCGAATTTTTTCATGCATACATTTTACAAATAAATCCTTAGGTAAAATTGAGTGAAAAGATTAAATAATGTGGATTAATTTATTACATAGAATTTTGTTCCAATTTATCTGGAAATTTTTTCTATTTCATTGTTTAAATTCGATAATTAAACATTTTTATTGTTTGACATTTTATGTACTCAATTGCGTATTTTGGAGAAAGTCAGGTTTGGTCCTTATATTATATTATTTGTATTTGGCCACATATTATGGTTTCTGAATAGAACTTTTTCATGTTCACAAAACATTTAAATTAACCTTTGTGATATTGTTTCCCATATTTCAGTTAACATTATTATACTTATTACACAAAACCCTAAAAAAAAAAAAAAAAAAAAATTATATATATATATATATATATATATATATATATATATATATATATATATATATATATATATATATATATATATATATATATATATAAATACAAATACAATAAATTGACTGAGCATATTATTTAAGAATCTCATTTTTAATAAATCAGAAGTACACATATCTACAAAAGGTGTAGATCAATAAGATTTATGAAACTTCAATACAATCATTGTAGATCTTATTTACAATTGCTGAGTAATTTAATTTATTCCCTATGAAATCCATCAATCAATCAGCGCAGAAATCCAAATTCAGTTAGGGAATGCTTAAGAAATGTTAACACAGAACTGCAAATGTAATTGGCAAGAATTATAAATTACTCTGCTCAAAAGAAGAACTGAGCTCATTTAAGCCAAACTCAAATCTAAAAAGCTGCACTTTTAACAAGCCATGAATTGGCTTAATCTGTGTCAGTTAAAACAAAATTGTGCTGAAAATCAACAAAAGCCCAACCACTTTAACAACGATGACTTAAATCCACAGGTTACCATCTAACAGTTACATATTCACTGACTCTTCAGCACCTATAGAAAGAAAATAGAAAATTAATTAACTAGCTTTCAATTAATTTCCTATTATTACGCCTGAACAGCTCAACCGAGCAAATACAAGAGAATTTGGACTGACAGCAGAAAATAAAACAGCAAGGAGCTGTTGCACATTGCTAATCTCAAATAAAGCTTGTCAAGTCAAATGTGCAAAGCGTTTTTGAGGTTTTCTATGCATCCAGAATGCATAGTTTAGACGGCCGTGATACTGGGCCAAAATAAGACATGGGATATCTACAGAGAGGAGAAAGAGGGCAGGGAATAAAACAGATACTAAGTGGGTCAATCTGGGGTTCCCAAAAGCATCAAAGGTGATGTAAATGCCTAAGAAGCTGGAAAAGGTGAAATAATAATGGGGAATGTGAGGAATGAAAACCCATCTGCAAATCATAGGCCCTCTGTCATTATACTAACTAAAAAGATGAGGTTTCAGTGCTCAGATGCTTTTAGGAAGCCCGGATAGGGTTCATGGAAAACAAGCATGAATATTCTTTCCTGTAAGTTAATACTTGCAACAAATACAGTCAACAAATGTTAAGCAATAATTTTTTCTTCTTCTCTTTTTCTTTTTTACAGAAAGAACAAAAGAAAAGTGCATCATCAATAAGAACGTTAAAGGGCACTTTGTCATTTTGGTGCTATGTTTTTGTTTCACTCTATAAATACTGCTACAGCACCTATCCAAGGCCCAGAAAACAGTTGTGTGCATGTCCCCCTCATTAGAACTGACAACTGGAAGAAGTATGAATGCATAAAACAATGATTTCATCATCGCTGTGATTCCTTTTCTGCTGCTGTTGTGTAACTGTATCGCCCCCAGGTGTTCGAGTTAGATATTGCTAGTCCACCAATTGAAGTGCATCAAATAATCGTCTCCCTCACACCAATCACATCTTTCTTATCCAATGAACTAACAATACCTAAAATGATGAGCTGAGCAACTACAAAAGGAATCTGTGTGCCCTTAAAACAAGCATACTTTGTCAAGAACAGTCTTACTGCAACCACATGATTACGTAAGATCTCAGCCCCACATACACATCACATTGTACATCACAGTGTTCACAAGATGAATGGAATGTTTCAGCCTAATAAATCAGCAGGAAGACATGAGTAGAAAAGGTGGAGAGAGGACATGTAAACCAAAATGTTGACATGATGAGTAAAATGCGCTCTACTGTTTCATAATCAATGACAGATATTTAGTTGCGATACCTTATGTGGATATATAAAAGTCTAGGCCACCAAGTCAGTAGACAAAATGTAGTATAATAGTTCCCCAACAGCAATCAGCTGGGATTGTACTATCATCACCTTGGAGGTCATCTTATTCAACAATTATTTATAATAATTAGGAAACCCAGTGAACTAATACACCTATTCTGGAAATATAGTTTGGGCTTCTTTTAGTGATAAGGATGGAATAAATAAGATTTAACCAAGCGACACTGACAACAGGTGAAAGAAACCAGCTAGGCATCAGACATTATTGTAAGTAGTAAAGGTTTGATCGTTTCTAGTATCTTGTAAGGAGGCACTGATTTAAAAGTCAATAAAATCTAAGGAATCAAACTTGAAACTGTCGACCTAATGAGCAAATGTAAAAAAAAAAAAAAAAAAAGAAAAGAAAAAGAAAATGAGATATAGCATGTAACAGAAGCCAGAGAAGTTAGATTCACAGGCATCAAGGGAAAACTGACTGATAAACAAAGGGAGCGATACATTTGTTTATCCCAATAGATAAGCACGGGACAATCAGAAAAGAGAAGGAGGAAGACAAGTAAAGAACAACAGAAGAGAGATAAGAGTGTGCTTTGTCCAGTTCTGTCCAGTGGGGGACACAGTTAAGGCGATGGTGGATGCCGTCGCTCCTGTCACATCACAGGAGCGTGCAGCGGAAGAAACTGCTCTTCTTGGGCTGTTCTGTAATCTTTACTCCTTGACTGCTGCCCTGCGGGTTGTTGCCCTCCTAAAATACACACAGATGAGAAAGCACGTTCAAATATAAAATATATACAAAAACACAGCTAACAGTTTTATACCAATTAAGTTTCCACTATTCTATGTTCTTACCAGCTTCTTGTCCATTTTTGCTTTGATGTCTCTGGCGAGAGTTAAGAAGGACTGCAGACAAAAACGGATAAACAAACAGAGCAGCACATTAATGGTAGTACTCTGGGTAGGACTCATGGTTTTGGACAAAGATTATTGTGTTTTATTGATATCAACAAACCCCAAAAAAGAGACTTTTTTATACTGATGTTATTCATCAGTAATTATGACAATAAAAACCAAATAAGCTATTAGGGCTGTACGATTTCACCTAAAGTCAAAAATCACAATTAGTTGAACATTTTACCTCGATTACAATTATTAAACGATTATTTTGTTTTTGAATGTTGTTTTTTGTTGTTGTTTTTGTGCCTTCATATTCATTCTAAATATGCTCAACTATTGAAGCTGGGTTGATTTATCTGATTCACAGATTTTAAACATCGATTATGTGAATGTAAATTTATAAGGTAATGTTGTCCACATTATGGAGAAATGGTTCCCCTATATTCGGCATATCGCCGCTGCTGAATTATGAGAGCGCTGCTACTAAAATTTCACTCAATTACATTTAATCATTTAGCTGACACTTTTATCCAAAGCGACTTACAATAGCAAATAGTCAATCTACATATCTGCAGTGAGTATATTACGTTGTTACACGTTTAATTTAATTGTAGGACGCCTAAGGAAGACATAGTGGTAAGCTGATTATAGTTTTCTTGCCCCCAGCAGAGATTCAAGGAAGTTCCTGTGAGCTGACCAAGAAATAGTCTCACACATAATACTCCCCTATGAAACTGCAACTTGTTAATCGTTAAACATTAAACTATGAGCTTTACAGGTGCTGGCAGGTATATTTCGTTACCTCTGGACAGAGCCAGGCTAGCTGTTTCCCCCTGCTTCCATTTGTTATGCTAAGCCAAGCAAAGTGGCAGCTGGCTACAGTATCATATTTGACAGACACACATGACAGTGGTATCGATCTTCTCATCCAACTCTCACCAATAGAGTGAATCAGCAAATTATTCCTTTGAGCTCTATGACAAAGTTTGTGGAAACACTTTATTTTGACATACAGTTTTGTCTGTGGTAACTAAACAATATGATTACACTGAATTATAATTGTACGGTACAAGGTTGGCCACTTTCAGCAATAATACTTGTAACTATAGAAAAAGTAGGAACTCACATTCTCCACGTTGATGTTTGCCTTTGCACTGGTCTCCATGAATTTGATACCGTACTCCAGTGCCAGCTGGAGAAACGAGAAAGAATCAGTGTCAGAAATCCAGACATGATAGGATAGTTAATGTACTCCCAGAGATTTAATGATATGTATTTTTAATCAACTTCGTCTATACATTCATTGTCAAATTTATCACCTTCTCTCCTCTTTCTTTGGACACCTGTCGCTTGTCATTGATATCACATTTGTTTCCAAGGACCATCCTTTCCACATCTGCTGAAGCATGCTGTGTACGCAAGGATGACAATGTGAACAGATAAGAAATTATTCAGTAATAAATAACAGTTGTGGATACTCTATTGCTCTTTGTAGAAGATCAATACCAAAATAAAAACACACTCAAAATGCCCATTGAACATGTGGATATCACTATTTGTACAGACAGAGAGAAGCAAACACACAGCTAGACAGATTCACTAATGTAAAATATTTTACCTCTTCTATATTCCGTATCCAGTTCTTGATGTTGTCAAAGGATTTCTCATTGGTAATGTCATACACTAACATGATTCCCTGGAGAGTTCATAGAAGAAAAGACATAAGAAAACAGAGTCGTCGGACAACAATGAAGTCATTCCTTACTGATTCTCTTTAGTCCATAGAGACAGACGTGGAATTTAAGTGTCAAATATGATTTTCCAGTGTCCATGTCAACATTTAGTAGTGATATTTCAAGTGATTTTACAGCCTCAAGTAAAAGCTTGAACTGAAGGAGACACCAACAAAAACACCACAACAATGCACCGAGTGCACCTCTAACTTGATGACAAAATTAGTAACAACAACAATGCTGGGTGTGGTTCTGGTAAATGTTCATGCTGCAGTGTGCACACTTGAAATGACCACCTCTTCACACTTTCAAATGCCAGAGATATTCTATACTATTGTATGAGTAGTATGGTTAATAATACAACTTACCATGGCTCCTCTGTAGTAGGCTGTCGTGATGGTCCTGAACCTCTCCTGCCCTGCTGTATCCCTTCACAGAAAACACGCATCTTTAACATTGCCTTGCAGAACCTAGCCTAAGGAATTCATAGTGCCCTGCTCTAAGCACCATCTTATCTCATGATTGATTTCTCATGATTTTTAGGGAAATGTACTTATTTGTGGTCTTACAGGGTTCAAATTTTATGGAGATCAATATCAGTCTCATGTCTATTCATTATTCAAAGAGCCTAGAAGCAAGGAGTGGACAGCTAGCCTGTGTCAAGTAAACAAAAACAAAAAAACCTGAGAACATAATCGACTCCCTAACTATCTTATTTTCCTATTGTTATTCAAAGAAGTCACCGCCACATCCAAGAGTCAGCTGGATTTTGTTTAAGAACAAAAAAAAAACAGTTACTCTGAGGACACTAAGGACAGGATTTGTGAGATGCTTCTTGCAGCCACAGCGCACAGCTGTTGTTGGTCATGACATAGCTCCAATACTAACTGCTCTTTAAACCACCGTCTCATTTTTACCTTCTACAAGTATCAAAAGGTACACTCAAATAGTTAAGATATGTCAGCTTTAGAGTGCTGTCATACACCTTTTGTCAGCACTAGGCCTAGATGTTTTCTCCCTTTGTCCAAGAGTGAACGTATCTCAAGCTACCTCTGTATTGAAAGCACAGACATAAAGCAGATGATGATCTTCTCCGTAAGCTTTGGTAAGACAACGATTCTGCAAATTCCACAAGATATTTACTTTATATACTGATGATTTATTACGTGACGCTATGCCAATATTGTCTTTTTTACACTCACGCCAATAAAGCAGACTTACTTGAATATTATTACAAGGGTTGTCACATCAGTGCTCAGTTGGTACTGTGATCTAGACTTCAAAATTTACCAAGAGCCGGTATTTATTTGATATTAAACACAAGGGAAACCATGAAGTCACGAAAGCCATGGAAGTGGAAAAAAGATTTCAACAAAGGAAACCTGAGTTGTGATGTGTTTAATAGCAAGATACAGATTCTACAGAGATACAGATTATAATATCAATAATTATAAGAGCATTGAGTTTTGAAGTGAAAGCATTTGATGTATTATTATGACTATCTTACCATATCTGTAGCTTGATCTTCTTTCCATCTAATTCTATCGTTCTGATCTTGAAGTCAATACCTAAAGAAAAACAAAAGTCACACCATTCACCAAGTCTAACCACATCTGACATTAACTCCGCATCTAATCGATAATATCATTGTTTCATTTTAGAAGCACAGAGTGGTTGACGAGTTCATCAATACTTTCTATAAGTTTACGTTGGCAACCACAGTGCGAAGTACAGGGAGCTGGTCATATGAAAAATGACAACTAGCTTAATGATAGCTCTGTAGCTTGTTAGCTCAGCTTGCCATAGTTATAAGTAAGTATTAGTAAGTATACCTAACCTTACTGTTACAGCTTGGATAGGGTACCCAACCTTACAGTGCATACATACACAGACTCTGTAAGTATAGCAACTGGTTAAAATATCATTGTCGGTTCTGAAAAAATCCCCTCTTACAAGCCGGCTAGGCTGCTTCCTGACTACAAGATGAATGCTAGCCAGAAAAGTTAGCAACAAATTAGCAGTACGGGATGGGCATCTCCTGTTAAGTTACCACTTTTTTAACCAAGGACAATATTGATTATACGACTTTTACCCACCTATAGTGGAGATAAACGTTGAGTTGAAGGCATCTTCTGAAAATCTGAATAGGACACAGGTCTTCCCGACTCCTGAATCGCCGATTAAAAGTAGTTTAAACAAGTAATCGTAAGTCTTCGCCATGTTATTAGTTAGCTTACTACTGCGGATATCCCGCCCGGTGCAGAGCGGTGACGTCACTGCCTGTGTGCGCTGCCTTTTGGTCAAGTCAACTGCCACTCTGGTCTGTCGTCGTGGCTCCGGAAGTTCGGTGGTTTCACTCGTTTGACGACTACTTTCACCCACAACACAAGATTGGTTGATTAAACGTTTGACAAAGCGAAAGCGTCCCTCACTTTGGAAGAAGGATGTACCCTAAATAACTCTAAATCGTATGATCAGACATATGATTTATATCCGTAGCTTTCATTAATTAACACACGTTCCTTTTGTAAAATTTAAGGGGACCTATCAAAGGCTAAGTACTAATGTTACAAGCTGTCAATTCCGCGTGTGGAAACATTGGTACAGCTGTTTCCTGGTGGAACAATTATTGTCTTCTAATTGTCATAATTCTTCTTACCATGATTTACTATAATGTTTTTATATGTCTGTATATGTATATGCATGTGTGTTTGTGGGCATGTGTCTATTTTTGTGGGTAAGATTCGAACTTGAATTATTTTTGAATTGACGTTATTACACCACTAAAAATATCATAACATATTAAGAGCCTAGGAAAAAAATATGTTTATGTATTAATGGTATGTTTTTCTATGGCCAGGCCTCTCATAACGTTACTTGTGGAACAGCTGTAATTAGTTATAGCGGGTACATTTAGCTAACTAGTTATCTATACATAGTTGTTAACGACTAATAATTTTTGTACTCAACATGGACTAGTTCAGCCAGTAGTATTTGTCGTGCCTCCCCTAAAGCGAAAGACCACGCCTGCTGGGGTCTCAAACTACAGTTGATTCTGTAGAGAGGCGCACTTGAACTTCAGCATCGCACTTTCTACTTCGTATTTGCATTTGACGAAAAACCTGACCGAATAGAGAAAAAATGTCTGTAAGTGAATTTTTTTATTGCAATATTATATATTTTTGTGGTTAGAAATTTTAGAACTCGTAAAACAAACAGTTGTAAGTGTTTGTTATTCAAGATTCAATGTACATTTTTGCGGCATATTTCAACAAGATTGTAAAATGAGAAGCAGCTTGTAGTTCCCTTTATGCTACAAAGCCAACGTTATATAGGCCTACATAAATTATAGAATTGATGAATAATAATTGATGACCACAACGTTATGTGGAAACAGGATAAGATAGATTTATTTATCAGTCAATATGTGGGGTGCACGCATAGACTGTATATAAAGGGTGCACGCTGTTTATATGCCTAGATGTGTTAATAAATCATTATCTGTGTTCAGTATACAAGTATAGCTGTCAGGAGCGATGCCTGGGCTTGCCTGGACATGTCTTTGTAGCTCTAACTAGCAATTCATTCATCAGACTGTAGGGGGCATTAGAGTATTACAGAAACATTATGCCATTCAATGAACGAGTGAAATAAAATAGTAATTGAATTCCTTAAAAACACAAATGTTATAATCATGTTCTGATCTCGGTTGCAGCTGGCTAAGGATCTGATGCACCCCAATTTTGCAGAGGAGAGGACCAGACACAAGAAGAAGAGGCTGGTGCAGAGTCCCAACTCCTACTTTATGGATGTAAAATGCATGGGTAAGGACTCCAAAACACATCTTATTTCCCTCACTGATGTATTTTTCGATTATGTCATTTAAAGTGGTATATTGTCATTTTATCTTTAAATGCAGGCTGCTACAGGATCACCACCATCTTCAGCCATGCCCAGACTGTGGTACCTTGTGCAGGCTGCTCTTTAGTCCTCTGCCAACCACGAGGTGGCAAATGCAGACTAACTGAAGGTGAGAAAACTGTCACAAAACTTGGTATTTTAACTGAGGTTTCAGTTATTTCTCCCTGTTGTAAAACTGGTTGGATGTATTGAATAGTCATTTAAGCCAGAAGATTCCAGCTTGATCTTTCTTACTGTTTTGTCTGTGGTTATACTGTATGTGGTATTGAAATGTTTGATTTATGTCCATCTAGGCTGTGCCTTCAGAAAAAAATATTCCTGAGCAGAAATCTTCCAAAACACCCATGACAGGCAGCAGAATGGACCATGGATAAATTAGTCCAAGCCTCACACTCCTTGATTTTAAACGTGGCAAATCCTAGTGGAGAAATCATCTGTATCTTGATAATGTGGAGTGAAATTTAATTCCCCCTGTGGGGTTTCTTTGGACATGAGCAGGAGAGGAGCTATGCAAGCTCAAGATAAACGTAAATCCTATACATGCAGACATTGTAATGTGCTCTGAATGAATGGTATGTATAGCAGATTGATATGGCAAAGCATATAGTTTGGACTTCTATTGACCAAGTCAGACATGTTTGGTAATCATGAAAAAGTCCAGTGAGACATGATTTTTGTAAAACATTTATTAGGTTGACATAGAAGGGGGTTGGTGAATGAAATATTTTAAAATAGTCTCGAACACGTGTGAGGCGCTTTTCATGGCATGAGAGGAAACCAAGATGACCATCACAAACAAAAATAAAACATTTAAAGAATTTATTGTCTGTGTTATGTGTTCTTTGGTCTTGAGAGTTCCCCTGGCAAAAAGTGGTGTAAATGAAACAAAACCAAAAAAAGAAAATCAATACAATTTCTCACAGACCTAACATTATTCTACTATATACAATAAGTATCCATGGTTGATAAAAATTGACTGAGCTTCCTGTGGTTTGGGGTTTAGCTCGCTCATGCAATACAATATATTGTAAATCTAGTAAATATTGGCAACATTATGGCGTATCGTTGGAAATGATGTAGAATGTCTCAATGGTCAGGTCAAGCTTAGGAAAAGGAAGTACAACTTAGAAATCCATGTCAATGCTGGATACTGTAGATGCACAGCTGTCAGGTTCTGCACAGATTCCCACACCAAAAGGAGTAGAAAAACTTGCACAAAAACATTGTGTGCCTTTTCAACAAGTAGGCCTCAGGATAACCGGGAATTGGCAGAAGCCTAGAGTGACTGAGCAACATGTACCCTGACCTGTTTGCTTATCAATGAAACTTTTCCATAAGCTGACCTGTCCATTTGACCATCATGCTGTTTAAACACAAACAGCTGTAAGAGGATACTGTTAAGACAGGCACACATAAGTCGAATGTGTGTTAACGTGTATCCTCTTAAGGTGGTACAGCATAATGAGAAGACTTCACATCACCACATTAGAGCCACACTAATGTAGACTGAGCGATTCCCAATGCCATCTGTAGGCGTGTACTAAAATAATCAGACAGAGGCTTAATGTATGTGCTCATGTTATGTGTAAATGAGCCAGTTTAGTCAGTGGTTCAGTGAGCAAATCTGAGGTTTCTTTGGGTGTGTAAATTGCCAGTTCTTTCTAAATAAGTGGCCAAATATCATTTCGGGGGAAATTTATGCAATCACAGCTGGAGATAAAAAAGGAGTGATGAACTTCCCACCTTAAAAAAGAAACAAAGTTGTGCCTTAGAAAAAAAAAACATCAAGGGACAAGCATTAAATTAATCCCCCTTCACACAGGGGAATAAAGATTTAACAGCTCGAAATGTGGAATGGAGTCGAACATTTGAAGGAATGTTACATGATGATCTCGTCCTCTCCAGCTTCCTCTCCGTGTATTTATAAGCTGTTCAGTTCCTGCAGGGTCTGGTCCAGGACTTTGTGCATGCCCAGATTCTCCTCTTTGGCATGTGATAGTTTCTCTGGAGAGAATAAGAAAAGTGACGTGGTAAAGCCTCAACCATCAGCAAATAATACTGCTCATGTCATGCCAATTTATTCTCCTTTATAGGTTTGTCAAACAGCATCCCTTGCAAAACAGCACAGAGCACTGTTTTACTGAACAGATGTTTTGCATATAACTATTTTGCTTAAGTTGTGCCACATGCAAAAAAATCCACCACACTGCTGTGCCTTTCATGCATGAAATGCTCTTTCTCTGTCTGAAGACTGTTAGTAGATTACAGTATGGGCTTTATAGAGGACTTTATGATAGATGCTACCTACCTATGTGAATATATAATATCAAAAACCATAAATAGAATAAATAGAAGTTAGATTTACAACCAAAAGAGTGTTTTAAAGGGTCGAAGGGGAGTTGCAAACTGCATTAATTCACACAAAAACCAAAGTAAATCTCTCACCTTGTCTCACATATGCTTGCTGATAATTAGACGTACATTAACAACCAATTTCAGAAGAGCAAACTGTTGGTTATCTAATTCTTTCCAAAAACACAAGAGTGCATGGCAATGTACACTGTAGCGGAGGTTATGCATCAAATATTTTACTACTATATATAGCTTGTTTGAAAAATCAAGAACAGACACAACACCTGTAAAGTAGGAAAGAAAACGATTTTTAATTCATTATTTTCTGCATAGTAAGATGGGCGGAAGGCACAAATGATGCACAGAGAGAAGATGAAGAGTCCGAAAATTCAAAACACAAGACAGAAAAAGCGGAGCAAGAGGCAGAAAAAGACAGACATGTCAGAGCATCTACAGAGATGTCATGTCATTGAGGGCATGGTCCAGCTCCTCACTAATGGCCTTGTACTTCAGCTTCTGAGCGTACAATTCGTCTGGAGGCCAGAGGTCGACAGGAAGTGCAGGCAGGTGTCAAGGACAGCAGCGACACAAACAAGCCAAAAGCAGGATAAGAATGAGATACAGATGGAGGCAAAGAGCAGAGGGAAGAAGGAGAAGACAAAAAAAAATAATAGGTCAGCCTTTTTAAAGATGCAGAAATGCTTGGAAGAAAGAATGATGCACATCTAATTATGCTTAAAACTCTTAAGCTGGGTGAGCTTTTAGCTTTTTAGCTTGTTCTGAATCTCTCAAAGTGGCACCAATAACTATATAAATTCAGCTGCCTGTGGTTCAACAACCAAATAATGCTGACCTAAAAACATATGAGCACATTCTGTCCTCTTGGCAGCATGGCTGACATGGAGTAGTTGTCCTTCAGAAAAAAAGTGTCTTTCCTTAGCTTAGTTAAGGAGTTTCCATAAATTTGGCTGTTTTCCAAAGAAATTATTTCAAGTATGTCAAACTAAATGTAATTGTGCATGTGTGCATTATGATGGATTAAGATTAGAGTTAGCGCCTGACCTACAGGAAACTCCACTAAACTATCTGCGTGTGGTTCATCAACATTTACTGAAACTGAACACAAACCCTAGGTCGAGAAGACTGGTTGTCTCATTTAAAGACAGTCAAGCTACTGACTGACTGAATTGCCGTTGCATTTATGTTGCGTTCCAAAAACTATATATTTTGGTGTAAATCCACAACATTACGATTATATGTGAGTGATACTGATCTCATACCTTCCAGGTCATCAATGGACTTTTCCAGTTTGGCCACTGTCCTCTCTGCAAACTCTGCACGGGTTTCAGCCTGACAAAAACACAGACACAGTATAAGTTACAAGGTAAGAAACAAGCTACAAGCTACTTTTTAAGGGATGTATACAGTAGAGGAAGTTAGAACATCAAGGATAAAATGGGGACATGCAACAAAGGTCCCTGGCCGGATTTAACCCAGAGACACTGCGTTTACCACGTTTGTGTTGTACACTACTAACCAACTGTGTCACCTGTCCGGGGTGGTTTTTTTTAAGTATCACATTGCCGATTTGTTTTACTCTAAAAAAATTCTATCAAGTAAATCATCAAACAGTACATGCTGATGTAATCAGAGGGAGCTCTGTTTTGGCATCCCTTCTGCTGTGGGATCACTAGAATCAGGATCTCACCTCCTTCAGTTTGTCGGTCAGAACTTTGATCTCCTCCTCGTACTTGTCTTCCTTTTCTGAGTACTGTTGACAGACACAGAGACAAATAACATTACCTAACCAGTGGCAGAAACACAAACACATGCTCACACATGCTTTGACTTACAAATGCACACAAAGTGAACATACACACACAGACACACACACACTCTTATCATCCAAGGATTACAATTTATCCAACAGCTATTGCACCACTCCCTCTGAGGAGTCAGGGTAGGTAGTGGCACAAAAGAGGTAAGGCGTTGGCCTGGCCTGACTGAACAAAGCAAAGGCATGTGTTGCTAAAGGAGAGTGGTCATGTGGTAAGCCTGGCATGCCGTCATACAGCTTGTCTGTGCCTGGGGAGGAATGTAATATGGCAAACAGGAAGAATGTACTGCAGGTCTCTACTAGCTGCTGGTTCACATATAGTGAGCAGTTACGCGGCCATTATCCCAAAAAACAGCCTCTGTGGCTAATTTGCCATGTGGTGGATAAACAGCTACATATCAAAGGAGTTCAGGTCTTGCACTCTTGATACGTCCAGGTCTTCATCAAAACACCTGAGGGGGAAATAAATGGTTGCGTTGTAAGTAGCGCCTGATGATACACAATTACAATGGAGGTAGTATGAAACAATACTTTGGTGATGTGGTATCCCTCCCTATACACTCAAATTACTGTCCACTGAGCCATCACAGCAGCCCAAATGATAGGATACAGGGAAGTGGAGATGAGTATGTGCTGGGTGCTAGACCTGGTACATAGAATATTATGTTGTATATATTTAAGTATTTGTGAAAGAGAAGGAAAGCAACTTCATAAACCATTGCTCAGCTTTGTCATAATATTAGCCAATATGGTTAGAAAATTACATATTATAACTGATGCATTTTGAACAGATGCGTCGTCAAGAATGAGTATCCTTACTTTGTAAACAAGTGGTTTTTACCATCAGTTTATGGCTAGCCTTACACATAAGCCTGACATAGTGCTTATCTTGAACATTACTGGATAAGAAAAGAAGGTTTTCTACAGGCTATGTGGAAAAACATATCTGGCACACCAGGAGGCCAAAAAAAGAAGTATTACTTATAAATGTGTAAATGTATTTCAGTTGCATGGTACAGTTATTACGGTGCACATCACTGAGTTGCATCACTGACTCGCTGAGTCGCTCACCTTCTCAGACTGGGCTTCTAAGGACTTCAGGTTGTTGGTCACATTTTTCAGCTC